ATTCCAACCCCTGAACATAGTATGATGCTGTGAAGGAGATCTGAGTTCTGCACCACTGTGAGGGTTTATAACTCCCTTGCTCTCTTTTTCTTTCCAGGACAGAAAATAATCGTGAAAGAAGCCAGTGGGAAGGTGTCCTTGGAATGCATAACAAAAAGTCCAAATCAAATCAAATGGATGGAAAATGGGCAGATTCTTGGAAACACAACCCAGCTGGCCTTGAGTGCAGTTTATGATGATCCTAGAGGTCTCTACACGTGTGACACAGGTGACCAACACGAAAGCCTCCAGGTGCACTACCGCAGTAAGTGTTGCACACCTGGTTTTGAGAGCCAGATCTGCTTGGTGGCTTCACCCAAGCAGATTTTTGAGGGAACTACTGATTTCCCAGATGGTTCCACTAGTTTGTGGAAGTCCTGACAGCTCCTGAGCTAGTTTGCCCCTAAGAACAGGTTCCCCTGCATCTGGTGTCACCAGGAGAGCTCCACAGCCCTATTTAGTGCTGTAACCTGTCCCGTGGCTGCAGGGAGAGGACTAGAGGGAATGGCCTTGAGCTGAGACAGGAGGAAGTCAGATTAGATATGAAGAAGTGTTTTCCCTGTGAGGGTGTTCAGGCACTGGAATATTGCCCAGGGAGGTGGTGGAGTCACCATCCCTGGAGGTGTTTGAGAGGCATCTGGATCGGGTGCTGGAGTGTATGGTTTAGGATTTAGGGGTTCCAGCAGTGACAGGTCAGTGGTTGGACTTGATGATCTTAAAGGTCTCTTCCAGCCATTCTCTGGCCCTCACTGAGTGCTGGGGACACGTGGCACCTTCAGCCACTGCCTTGGCTCATGCAGAAGCCAAACTCAGTCCCTGTTCTCTCTGGGCCTGGGACTGGAGCCTGTCTGGGCTGTCAGAGCTGGCTGAGTGCTCTGGGGGAGTCCTGGTTGTGGGCCTGCTTTTACTGCCTGTGTCCTTTTGGGCTTCCAGTGTGCCAGAACTGCATCGAGGTGGATGCTCCCACCATCTCCGGGATCGTGATCGCAGACCTGGTGGCCACCGCGTTCCTGGCGGTCGCCGTGTACTGCATCACTGGCCACGACAAGGGACGACTGTCACGAGGTGAGGGCAGGGGAGAGCCCCCCTGGCTGCACACAGCTGGGGACAGGAGCTGCCTGGATCCTGGGCACTCTCTGTCACTGCTACTTGGGCTTGTTGGCAACTGTTCACACACCTCCCGTGCCTCCCCTGATCCTTGCCCACCTTCTTTCCTCATGCAGCTTCTGACAGGCAGAATCTGATTGCCAATGAGCAGGTCTACCAGGTGAGCTCTGTGTGTGTGTGGGGACACCTTCAGCACCTCTGTGTGGTGTGAGCCTGGTGTGGGCACAAGTGCTCAAAGCCTTGAAGCACTGAGCCACGTTGGGGATTGCTCTCCGATGTGACAAGCTCAGCTGCCCTGTCTCTTTCTCTCTGGGTTCAGCCCTGTGTGATGGGAGGAAAATTTGCCAAAAGGCTGGGCCAGCTCCCTCACAGAGCTGGACACAGTTATATCTCCTCTCCTCTCCCTTTGGCAGCCCCTGGGTGAGAGGGACAACGACCAGTACAGTCGGCTGGCACCTCCCCGGGCCCGCAAGTGATGGGCAGACCTGGGACCTGTGCCTGCCTTCAGCATGCTGCTCTGGCCTGGAAATGCCTCTGGCTCCCTGTCAGGATGGGCTGCTTGCACCACCGTGCTCATTCCATGACCTCTCACACTTCTGTGTCCCTCTCATTAAAGATGAGCCTGTCCCTTAGCCTCTCTGCTCCATCCGTTGTGTCAGGGCCTGGGGAAGGGGCACACTGGGTGGGATCTGGTCACTGGGGAAGGGGCACACTGGATGGGATCTGGTCACTGGAAAAGGGGCACACTGGGTGGGATCTGGTCACTGGGGAAGGGGCACAGTGGATGGAATTTGGTAACTGGAAGGGGCACAGTGAATGGGATCTGGTTGATGGGAAAGGGACACACAGGGTGGGATCTGACTACTGGAGAAGGCAACCTCAAAGCCACGTGGGTAGGACTTGATTAAAAATGTGCCCAGCAGACTGCCTGGTTTGTGGAGCTTTCAGCTCCAGCCAGGGAGCAGGAGAAGCACAAAGCCAAAGCCAGACTACTTGTGAGAGGCTCCTCAGCACCTCACCCTCAGGAGAACAAAGAAATATTTCTCTTGTGCAGGTAAGCACAGAGGCAGAAGGAAGTTGTCATTGGGTGGGCACTGATCCTACTGAGATAAGGAGTATGTGGGATGGCACTGGTTGGGGCAAACACTGGGCAAACTTACAGCCCCACAAATGGTGGCAGAAACACCAGGGTGTAGCTCAGAGCAAAGTTTAGTCCTTGTACATCCAGAGTGGTCCAAGCTTCTCCCATCCCACCCATGGCAAAGGGCTGCCTGGCTGGGCTGAGCCAGCACCCCTGCAGCAGTGATGTTGTGCAGAAGGTGAGAACATGGCCCAGAGTGGTTTCAGAGTCCTCTGTATCTTGCAATCTCCCTCCTCGACGTTCAGTGCCTTGTATGGCAAGCTCAGCTGTGCCTCAAACCACATCCTGCTGTGAGCACAGCGACCTGAGGCTCCGAGCTGCTGGGTGTTTTTCTCCCCAGGCTGAAACTCAAGGGTTAAACCAACCCCAGGGCCACCTCTGCTGTTGTTTGCTTTCTTCAGAGCTGTTTGCTCAGCTCAGTAACAGAAACGTGGGTGGCTCAGGCAGTGTTAGGCCAGAACCTTCCCAGGCATCACAGCAGCCCCTGGGCCCTTTCTAACCTGTCCTGTGACGGCTGAGACATTTGGGTTTAATACATTGACTGTTTCTGGTCCTTTTGCTGCAGTCCTGGGCAGAAAACTAAGACAGTCATGAATAGGAGAGCTGGACAAGGTCAGAGACCAGTGAAGGACTCACTTTCTACCCACTGGCTGCCCAGGGAGGCACTGGGAGTAAGTGGAGGTGCTCAGGGCAGAAATGCAATGGGAAGGAAGAGCAGAGCATGGAACTGGAGCAGAGAGGGATGTGAGTGAAAAGAAGGCCAGGAATCAGGAGCGATGCTGCAGTCCTTTAATGAGAGGAATGTGCTCATTTGCTTGTGTTCCCTGATGCCAAACGAAGCACACACCAGGGTGGGACAGCAGTGGCAGTGAGTGCCTGTCCTGCCTGGCTTACCCCGGCAGGCTGAGGCCTCAGCAGAGCTGCAGGGAGCTGGGACTGAGCTGGGCAGAAGCTGTTGTGCTGTTATTTTCCAGCCTGTCATCCCTGGGATGTCAGAAACCTCTGGATTCCAGGCCTGCATACACTTCCCGCTGGCCTTTCCGGATGGGCTGTGGGGACAGAAGAGATGTTAGCTGGAGAAGGGAATTGCAGGCTGCAGAGATGTGTGCAGTCCCCCGGGAGCTGCAGAGGTGTGTGCAGTGCCCAGGGAGCTGCAGAGGTGTGTGCAGTGCCCAGGGAGCTGCAGAGGTGTGTGTAGTGCCTAAGGAGCTGCAGTTCTGCTCTCAAATCCCTGTGGCAGCACAGGAGAAGGAGCTCCACCCTTGCTACCTTTTCCTTCCACTCCTGGGAAAGCTTCTCAAGGGATCAAAGGATAAATGCTACCAACTCCCAGACCTGGCTATCCCTCCCCAACCAGCAGAGATGGAAAACACACAGGTACTCCATACCTCATAGTCCGGGTTTGGAACAGGGGGAGGTCGCTGCATCTTCTGACCTGCAGCAGAGGCACAGAGAGGTCATTCTTGTGCTGATCCAGGTAACACAGCACTGGGGACTCCCATGGTGATCCCAGGGTGATGCACACCACGGGTCAGCTCCAATGGCTTTGTTATTAGAGCTTCAAAGAGCCAACTGCTGCAGGCTCGAGGCCTCAGGAGGATGAGCATCAAGCTCATCTACAAGCCCCAACACTGCTGCCTGGGCAATGTGCTCCTTTGGCACAGCAGCTGCACCCAGCCCATGCACAGAGACAGCCTGGAGCCACACGTGGCAATCAGCACTGTTTGGTGAGGTCTTGGAAGCTCAGGGAGAGCAGAGGATGCTCCACCATGCAGTGGGAACAAGTGCTTCATTGGGTGGACAAGACAGAGAGCAGAGACTCCTGACACAGCTCTTACCTCGGGGCCGAGTGCCCAGACCAGTGCTCGTCTGCCCCTTCCTGTCCTTGCTGAAGTAATAGACCAGGATCAGCACCCCAAGGGTGATGAGAAGGTCTGCAATGATGATCCCTGTCACCGTCAGGGTATCCAGCTCCTCACAGTTGGGACACACTGCCAGGAGGAGAGATGGAGATGCTCAGACCCTTCCTGCCCAGCAGGGCAAGCCCAGGCCCCTCTTCTGCTTGGTGCAGGCAGAAGGATACAGCACTGAGTGGGAAGGAAAAGGGCAAGCAGAAAGGAAAGGGAGATTCCTTTTGCCAAAAGTGGGCTCTTGGACTCTTCCTGCTCACACAGAGCAGGAGCCCTGGCAGGATCTCAGTCACCCAGCCCAGCAGCACTGGCAATCACGTCCCAGCTCCTAACACAGCCACTGGAACGTGTAGACCTTCACCCTTGGATCAAGGGTTTCCACTCACCTCTGGCATTCAGGTACAGGTGAAGCTTCTTACCACCTGAGGAACAAGTCAGGTTGGCAGGAGAGCTGTCATGGTTTGTTATAGTGTACTTCTGCTCCTTAAAGCCTGTTCTCTTCCCACCTAGATCCCATTCTACATTTTCGGTGAAGGGACACGTGATTGTCACTGTGGTGCCAGAAATGTCCACCTGGAATTGTCCTTTGGAAGATGACCCAAGGAGAAGGAAAACAAGGGGAGTTTTAGTCCTCACCTGTGAGGCACCTGCAGTCTCTACATCACGCTAAAGTTAGGAGTGGTGGCAAAATCCACTTACCTCCTACTTCAACAGTTTCATCTGCGAAGGAGAGAATGAGTGTTAGGTATTGCCTTACTGTTGTTGCTGTTGGAAAATACCCAGCCCTGCTTGGGGATCATTCACAGTGATTAGGGACAATTCCTGACAGTCAATTTTTCCAGCGAGATCACTAGCAATTAATGAATCCGTTTTTCCCACCCTACAATATTTTCATAGCTCAAATAATTGTGTTTGCCTCCCAGTCCTCCCTTGTGGGGCACATTTGGCTTTTTGATCCCACTGAAGAGTTCAGAATGGTGTAAAACACTTACCCTGCTGAGCTGCAGTGCCAGCTGCAAAAGAAAGAACAAGAAGTGTTGAGTAGTTAGCTACTGATATCACACACCTTTCCTGCTGCCAAATGTGTCCCCTCTGAGCTCTGCTGAGAGGGATGTTTTTAACCCTCTGCTCATGCTGAAGGCAGGAGAAATACTCTGCTAGTGAGGGAGGATGTTGTTTTGGCCCTTGGAGGACATTTTAAACCCAACCAACGCAGAAGGGAAACTTGAATAATTTTCCGAGCCAGCTTAGAAGAAGGTTGTTATTGCAAGCTGTGCACCCCCAGTTTTGCTTTTTGTCATGGAACTGGGAAATCCTGCCTGGTTTCTGCAGACAGAACCTCTGTCCTCTGCAGGAGTGAGCTCACTGGGGATGGGACCCTGACACTTGATTTAATGTTGTAAAGCACTTTAGCTGTGAGGTTTTTCTCTCTAGGTAGGAAACAAACAACTCCATGGAAGTGTCTGGAGCTGGAATGTTAAAGAAACGGTTTTTAGGAGGTGTGAATTAGACTCCCGACTTGCTTTAAAGACATTTGTGATAGAAAGGAACCTAAGTAAGCAATGACAGGTTTGAAATCCCACAGGACTGGGCTGGAATAAGGTGATCTGGTGCTTTGTACTCTGGGCTGAATTTCAATTTGAAAGGACAGCCTATTTCCAAACCCAAAGTTTTGCCTCTCCTCCAAGTATTTGCAGCACATCGGCAAAGCAGTTGTCTTACTGTAGTACCTCTCCCATACTTACCTTTCAAACCTCTCTGGTCATTCCCACCTCTAAAGATAGAGTCTTCACAGATCCTTTGCACTTCATCCCAAACCAACTCGGCAGTTCAAACTGCTAAGTGCAAAATCCCATCACTCCCCTGCTATCCCACCGATCACAAAATGGGTTAAGAAAAGTGCATGAATAAAGCATGAAAATAGAATTCAACCCCCAGAATCTTAGAGCTGGCACTGCATCCAGCTCCAGCCTGATGCTCAGAGACTCACCTGCACACAGCAGGAGCCCCAGGAGAGGCAAGGACAGCTCCAACCTCATCCTCGTGTTCCTCCTCCTCTTGCTCTCCTCTCCCACATCAGACTGGCATCGCTGCAGCTGCAGAGGCAGGAAAGAACACGTTGGCTTTTCAGGTTTGCTCTTACAAGAAAGAGGCCCAGGATGGTTTCCCAGAACTGCTGAGGGCAATGAGCTGAGCAGAGCTGGGGGGACTCACTGCTCCAGCGGGACCTGCCGGAGACCGAGGCAGCCACGGGACACGTGTGATGAAATGAGCACAGGTCAGGAAGTGCTGAGACTCAAAATGTCTTCACAGGGCGTCACTGAGCCAGGGGTGGCTCAGCATCAGCACGTTCACTGTCAGATCTGTTGTAGCTGCCCTGGGAGCAGCAGGAGAGGGAAAGGAGCTGGGATTAGATTTCCCATCGGGACCTTCCCAACAGCTTTTCAAAGTGAATATTTCTGAGGTTTGAACTGTGGCAAACAACTTCACATAGATTTATGGAATGGTTTGGGTTGGAAGGACCTTAAAACTCAACCAGTTCCACCCCCTGCCATGGGCAGGGACACCTTCCACCAGCCCAGGCTGCTCCAAGCCCCATCCAACCTGGCCTGGAACACTCCCAGGGATGGAGCAGCCACAGCAGCTCTGGGCAACCTGTGCCAGTGTCTCAGCACCTCACAGGGAGGAATTCCTTCCTAAAATCTAATCTAAATTTCCTCTCTTTCAGTTTGAAGCCCTTCCCCTTGCCCTGTCACTACAGTGGCTGGTGAGGAGTCCCTCTCCAGCATCCTCCTAGGCTCCTTCAGAGCCTGGAATGCAGGAATAAAGGAACCAGAAGTCCTACACAAAGCTGAGCACCCTGAGGCACCGCACAGACAGAGAAATGAGGCTGTAAGGATCAGAATTCCAGCTCTGGGAGACTTTTTCCTTGCACAGCCAGGAGCAGCCCAGCCCCTGTGCTCGTCCCCTCTGCCACCAGGAGACATTCCAGCGGCTCCTTTGGAATGTGCTCCATCCCGGCGCTGCCCGGGCTGGCGATCCGGGCTGGAAGTGTCCTGGCCCCGCTAGATGGGGCTCCTGCCCCGGCCAGAGCCGCGGGACCAGCGCTGAGCTGAGGTTACACTCGGGACAGTCCTCGAGTGACAACACCTTAGCTCGCCCACACCACTCGGTTTGAGGCTCTCACTCTGGGCAAGCTCTGAGCTCAGCTCCCGGGGCCAGGGACAGGACCCAGGGAACGGCTTGTGTCTGGGCTGGGAGGGGTGGGGTGGGGATCAGGACAAGGGTCTTCCCCCAGAGGTGTTTGGGCACTGGGACAGGGTTAGGTTGGAGATCAGGACAAGGTTCTTCCCCCAGAGGTGTTTGGGCACCGAACAGCTCCCAGGGCAGTGGGCACAGCCCCAAGGCTGACAGAGCTCCAGGAGTGTTTGGCCAATGCTCTCAGGCACAGGGAGCATTGTTGGGGTGTCTGTGCAAGGTGAGTTGGATTGATGATCCTCAGAGTTCCTTCCAGCTCAGAAGATTCTGTGTTTGTGTCCCATGGAGTTTCTCACATGTGAAGCATCGTGGGGTTTCCCCAGCTGTGCCTGGACTGTCCCCAGGCTGGATTCATCTCTATTCTACTGTCTTCTTACTTTTCCAGGCACGTCCCAAGCACCACTCTGTGCACTCTCCCAATCCTTCCACGGTGGCTGCACCCAAGGAACGTTGCAATCATTTTACTGCAGGTATGTGTGTTTTGGTGGGGCATTTCCACCCCCCGGATATGTGTCATCCTTGCTACCACAGACCCTTCTTTCCTTTTACTCTTTCAGGATTTTTTGCAGGCTTTTCCCAAACCGATATTCCGCATTCCTTGGAGCCACCTATAAACACCTTGGGGCCAATTTAGGAGCCAAATTACCTCCCACAGGAGGGGAGTGGTTTCAGGTGGAAGCTGGGAGGAGGGATGGTTGCAACACAAAAGAGCAAAGGAATATGGGAGGGAAAAGAAATTAACCTTACCTTGAGTGTGTGCGTGTTTTGCACGCAGGAGCGAGCGGGACTGGCCGCGCCTTCCCTCGCGGCTCCGGCAGCCTCGGCGCCTCGCAGTCCAGCCTGGCACCGAGGAATTTGCCCTGCTGTGCTGGGAGGACTCGGAGAAGCTCATCTTTCACCTGCTTATCAAGAACCTGCAAGGAATTTCTCTTCCCAGCCCTGCTCAGCCCGCGGAGAACGGACTGGTGCTCCCGATGCGTGGCCCCACCTGGGTGGGTGCTGTGCTGTCCCTTGGGGTACAGCTCCGAGGTAAGGAAACCTGTGCTCCTGCCTCGGTGCCATCTCAGCTTTCCTCCTCTGATCCTTTCCTTATCAGGGAGGTAGAGACCTTCCCCCGGTGTTTGTGCTGGGAATCTTTCTGCCCGGGCATTGCTGGAAGTGACACGAAGCGATTTGAGTTTCTTCACAAACAGGTTTAGGTGTGTTGGGGTGGAAAAACACTGAGCTCGTTCTCGACTCCAGTTACAACACGCTTTTGTCTCCTGCCAGGAATCTGAGCTTTACTCCTAGATGGGGTTTCTTTTGCTACCTTTGTTCCTAGACAAGCAGAGATTGTTCATGGTCCCGAGTTCAGCTCCTTTACACAACAACTCCAGACTGACAATAAACTCGCCTGAACTTTCTGTGGTTTTTCCCAACACACCTGGATTTTAAGAACTGCATGTCCTCAGCACATGGATGTGATCTGCCTTGAAAAATCAGTGTTTACACTTGTTTCCCCCAGTTGTTCTCTTAAAGGAGATGAAAACGAAAAGATTTGGCACTGAATCTTTGGATGAGAAACTTGATCTCTGCCAAGAAGGTTTTTCAAATGTAAACACCTTCAAAGTTTTGACATTTCAAATATTTTCCCCCTTGAGATAAGAAATCATTTGGAAAGAAGTATTTGGTTATAAATTACTTTGAAATATGTCTTTATTTTGAAGGTATTGAACAACCCTAGATAATCTTTTTTGGCTTGAATCACTCTGGGGAGAGTCAACCTCCTAAAATGACAGGAAATTACTTTTTTTTTTACTTTTCCTTCAGCAGCAATCCCTTGGCTCTCCCAGTTTGCAGTCTCCTCCTTCCTGTGCCTTGCTGCTCTCTCCTGCTGGTTATCCCTCTCTCAGTGCAGCATCGAGCTGGTGATACCTATTTTTTAAGCAGCAACTGTAGTGGTTTGGTTACCAGAGGATGTTTCTTTGACAAACAAATACAAATTTACCTTGAGGATTTCCTCTAGAGCTCCACAGCCTGACTATATTTGGTGCAGTTGTCCAGACAGGCTCTAACAGGCCCTGCCTGTGTAAGAGCAGCTCTCGGCGTGGTGTTTACTGGGGCTCAGCAGTGCAGTTTGAAAGGGCAGGATAAGACTTCTGAAGAAGTCTGCGGGATCACACTCTCAGGTTAACCGTTGGCGGTGCCAGATAAGGCAAACTTCTGTTTACAACAAACACTGATAAGGAATTGATGAGCTCTGTGATCCCTGTGCTTTCCCTGCAGCACTGTGGCTGGTGACAGCCATGGAAGTTCACACTGCCAAGGAGGTGGTTGCTGTGAATGGCACAAACCAACGCTTGAAATGCACCTTTTCCAGCAGCCACCCCATCAGTGAGCAGCTCTCAGTGACCTGGAACTTCCAGCCCGAGGACCTGAGCTCTCATGAGTCTGTGAGTGAGATCTTTATGCTCCATTTATGCCCAAACAAACCAGTGCCAAGACCCAGCCCTGGCTGAGCCCAGAGGCTGCAGCAGTGCCAGCTGTGGGTGTGGGCACAGGTATATACAGTTGGGCCTTTTCTCTGCCACTTGTAATGGTTACTCTGAGCCAGGAGTTCTGTCCACAAAGCCTAGCTAGAAAAAAAATTGGTTATGTTTAGTTTTGGGTGATCAGGGTTAAAATATTCATGGCTGATGAAACTGTAGGTGCTGAGCCGTGTCTTTGCTGCCATCCTGCACCTGACACGACTCACAGTGCAGAGCAATCCTCGAGGTCCCTTCCAACCCAACCCACTCTGTGGTTCCATCACTCCTGTAGGTGCTTTATTACCAGAAGGAGCCTTACAAACTGACTTCGGGGCGGTTCAAAGACAGAGTCACCTGGGATGGGAACATCGAGAGGAATGATGTTTCCATCATGATCTGGAACCTGCAGCCCACTGACAACGGCACCTTCACCTGCCAGGTGACAAACTGGCCAGATGTGTATGGCACCATTGGGGAAGTGAGACTGCGAGTGGTGCAGAAAGGTGAGAGGCCAAGGGAGAACACCCCAGAGGTCATGGGAATCCAACCAGTGCAAGGCATTGGTGGGTCTTCCTCCACATTTGGAAATATTATGCGTGAAAAGGGGTTATAAATAGAAAGCATGAGGATAGTTGATAGATACCTCTTGCCCCCTGTGTCCCTCTGGCTCATTTCTCTGTCTCTCTCCAGTGCACTTCTCAGAAATCCATTTCTTGGCTGTGGCCATCGGATCTGCCTCTGTCCTGATGATCATCGTGGTGACAGTTGTGATTATCTGTCGACAACATCAGAAGAAAGTGCAAGAGAAGAGGATGGAGGTGGCAGACACTGAGCTGTAAGGACAGAGGAGGGAGGGAAAGGCTCCTGGGAAAGCTTGTCAGATGTGTCTCCACAGCTCCTCTGAGTTATTGGCTTGGGCCCTACACTGAGCATCTACAATGCAAAACTGCCAACACAATTAGCAGTAATTGGCTGTGTGTTTGCAGTCAGAACAGAGCCCCAGGATGAACAGGCTCTGGAGTCCTCATTTGGCTCTTGCCCTTCCCAGTGGCTCCTCACTCAGAGAAGGATCTGTCTGCTGTGGTGGTGGTTGGCAGAGGATCACTCTGTCTCCTGAACCTGACACTGTGTGCACCACACATGGAGCACTCTTAGCATCACCTAACTCCTTGTGCATGTTGTGTGTGGCTCAGAACATGCTGCTCAGGATATCTGATGCTGATTTGGGCTCACTTTCTCCTGGGTGTTTTTTTTTTTCCTTTTTTATAACAGTAAAGAAAAGGAGAAGCTGAAGATGAGAGAGGAAAAGGAAGCCAGTCCACTAGAAGACTAGGGGCCTTTGATGGTGTGTACAATGCAGGTAACTATCCAAACCCTCTCTACTTAGTGTCTGTGTTGCTGTAGACTTTCTAAGACAGATTCCCTTAGGCATTTCACTGCTATTCACAGTCACCAGGCCATGGGAGCCATCAGCAGAGAGAACTGAGCCCACTGCCAGCTGAACAGGCAGTGGAGACAGAACTGACTCTAAAATGTTGGGGACCACTTGTGGGAGAGTCTTTGCTGCTTCCCATGCCATGTCTGCATTGTGCGTAAAGGGGAATGATTTCACTTCTTTTCACTAGTTTCAAATCTGCTTTTTTATTCATTCAGTCTCTATTGTTTGAAAATTGCTCCAGGAACACTGAACAGTTTCCATATTTGCTGTCTTTGCTCAAAACTTTCAGCATAACCTTTACCCACTCAGTTACTGAGGTCAGCAGTTGCCTCCTTTGTGTTTTCAACAATCACCTGAGTAATGAACGTTTGTTTTTCTTATGATCTTTCTTCTTAGGTGCTTTAAAGCAGAAGGTGAAAGCTTGTAATTTCAGATGTTAGACCAAAGCTGAATTACAGACGCCTCATGCTGTGAGTGTGGTGCCTCTGCTCAACCTGAAATTCCTGCAAGCAAAGAGGATGACACTACATGAGCTCTGAACTTCCCTCCATGCAGCAAAGCAGGAGGAACTTGCCCCATGAACAAAGAACTTTCCCTCATCTTCACACCTATGGAATGTGAAGAAAGTTGCTCTGAAGAGGAAAAAAACTGCCAAAAGATTTGAACAAAGTGCCAAGACTGAACTGAGGGTTGGGAAGTGTTTGAGCAGATGCATTCTGGCACCTTAGAATCACCACGTGTTGCCCTGTTTGTCCTCCCTCACAAAAAGAGAGACTGACCAGTGAGAGACCAGAGCATCAGCCTGTTGCTACAACAAATGAGCTTTAGATCTCTTTCCTGCTTTAAATGGACAGTGTTAGAGCTGGCCAATGTGTGCTGCTTGTTGTTAGGGCTAACATTCACCAGTTGGTGTGGTTTTCATATCCAGCTCTCATAGCTTTGGGGAGGTTTGGTAACTCTGGGAGCTAGGTCACTGTCTTCTGCTGCTCCCCTCCTTTTCCCACTCCTACTCTGCCTTATCCCAGCACTGCCCTCTGTTCCCCTGGCTCCAGCCCCTTCCATCCAAGGCAGAATGCTGCTTTTCCCACTCAGCAGCCTTACACCCACAGCCACCTCAAAATTTTGTCTGGCTGTGGCTTTGAGCTCAGAGACATCCCTGAGCAAGTGATGCTCCGTCCTGCTCTGTCCAGTGCAGCAGCAGCAATATCCCACTTTCTCCAGGGGCTGTGTATTGCCCAGGTGCCCCCAGCACATCCCAGACCTGTGCTGACTTAGCCTGTGCCCTGCACTTCTGTAGATTTAATTTAGGGCAAATGAGGTTCCAAATCTCAGAACCCGCAGAGCTGTAATAGGGTTAAACCATCCCCTAAGGAAGTCAGGATTGTTCAGCCTGGAGAAGAGGAGGCTCAGGGGAGACCTTATCACCCTCTGCAACTCCCTGACAGGAGGCTGGAGTCAGGTGGGGGTTGGTCTCTTCTCCCAGGCAACCAGCAGCAGGACAAGAGGGCACAGACTCAAGCGCTGCCAGGGGAGGGTTAGGTTGGATATCAGGAAGAGATTTTTTCCAGAGAGAGTGATCAGGCATTGGAATGTGCTGCCCAGGGAGGTGGTGGATTCACCATCCCTGGAGGTTTTCAAGCTGAGACTGGATGTGGCACTCAGTGCCATGGTCTGGTGACCACGGGAGGGTTGGATTGATGATCTTGGAGGTCTCTTCCAACCTGGTTGATTCTATGATTCTAATCAAATCTGTTACAATGTATGACCCACCCCCCAACTGAAACATATTACAACGGATAGAATCATAGTATCAATATACCAATAAACAATCCCAACTCTCTCAGCCTCTCCTCATGGCACTTGTGCTCCAGTCCCTGCACCAGCCTCGTTGCTCTTCTCTGGACCTGCTCCAGCACCTCAATGTCCATATATGACCACCAAGAACTCAAACCTACTACAAGGAATGCCCAGCCCAATTCAAACCTGTTACAATGTATACTAACCCCTAATCAAAGCTGTTACAATGTATACTCACCCCTAATCAAAGCTGCTACAATGTATCACCAGCACAGACTCCAAACTTTTTATGCTTAGCCTCAAATCAAAGCTTGGAGTTGTTGGTTGAAAAGCACCTTTATTGCTTTATGGACTGCCATGTGCTGAACCAGTTACCTGTTTTCACTCTCATCACCTGTGCCACAATTAACCCCTTGCAGAGCCGCGGGGGTGATGAGCGCTGGGGGGTGATTAGCTCTTGGGGGTGATTGGCTCTCGAGGGTGGTTAACTTTTGGGGGTGATTGATTAGCCCTCGGGGGTGATTAGCCCTGGGGGGTAATGAG